ACAACTCATAACCAAACATACAAATTAAAATTCTATTAAAGCACATAATTTTTTTTTTAAATTTTGGAAAATATTTTTTTCGAATATATAAAAATTAACATACCAATTGCAAAAAAAAGAAAAAAAAATTTGCACTGTTCCGGTCAACTGGCCGGTCGACCAGTGGGACGACCGGTTAAGCCAAATTTCAAAAAAAAAAAAAATTGAAAATCGCGCTCTCAAACAGAGTTTTCTATACCTTGGGTTGTTTGTTTTATCACCTTGGGCTGAGGATGTCGAATGAGCTAATCTATAGTCGTCTGCTTTGTCCACATTATAGGATCAAATCAAAAATTGCCTTAAGCATTGTTGATTTTTCCTAGCCGTAAATTTGTTACTTATGAAATTATTTAGGCAGGAAGTAAGGACGGACATGAAAGTGGAAAGTTTTCATAGATTTTTTTCTTTCTTTTTCTTTATTTTTTTTTATTTTTTTTATTAGGTAATGCGATTGAATTTCTTAGGGATGCCGTTTTTTTTGTTCATCTATATGTTGCAGAATAATTCTCTACATGTTTGATGTAAAATCATCTATGGAAATCCTAATGTCATTATGTAGATGTCTAGTTCTATGTGTGTTATGCAAGTCCCATTGTTTCCTATATGGGAATGCTTTTCAATCACTTTGATAACCATACTTATACAACTGACCTTGTCTACGTTTGTGCTCCTTAATCATATGTTTTTCTCTAAGCATTTATAATTTCTTTGGAATTACAATCTGAAGGCCTTGAAAATAAAATTTTCAAATGAGTTATACTTTGTATTGGTCTGCAGGGTTGGAATTGGATGCAACAAAGCCAGTAGAGTCACCCATATAGACCTAGAGAATTACGATTTGAGAGGAACACTTTTCAATTTTAACTTCTCTTCCTTCCTTCATCTTGTCAACCTTGAACATTATAACAACTCAATCCATGGGACCATCCTCTTAAACATTGGTAGCCTTGTGAGACCTACCAACCTAAGCTTGTCCTACAATTGTCTTTTAGGAACAATTCCATCAGAAATAGGAATGCGTAGCTCTCTGAGGGAACTCCTTTTGTATTCTAACAATCTTTCAGGTCCAATACCTTCGTCTATTAGAAACTTGGGTAATTTAACCAAATTACGCCTTCCCAAAAATAAATTTGTTGGACCAATCCCTCAAGAAGTTGGGGTGCTAAGATCTCTCATTGATCTCCAAATGTCAAGGAACAATCTTACAGGTTCAATCCCTACTTCCATACAGAACTTGGCCAACTTAACCATTTTAAGCCTTTATGAAAACCAACTTTCTGGATCGATCCCTGAAGAAGTCGGATTGTTAAGGTCTCTATATAAGTTGTCTCTCACTTTTAATAACCTCACAGGTTCAATCCCTGCCTTAATAGAGAACTTGACCTATTTAACCATCTTATACCTTTATGAAAGCAAACTTTCTGGGTTTATCCCGCAAGAAATCGGAAAGCTTCTGTCTCTCAATAAACTTGATTTGTCAACAAATAATCTCACAGGTTCAATCCCAACCTCTATAAGGAGCTTGGCCGACTTAACCATTCTGAATCTTTATGCCAACAAACTATCAGAAAACATTCCTTCTAGTATTGGAAACTTAAATAAGCTCAAGCAATTGATTTTATTAGGTAATTAACTATCTGGCTCCATTCCTCTGTCATTTAATAATCTTACACATTTACCAAGCTTGCAGTTAGCTTCTAACAGGCTCACAGGTCATTTACCACACAATGTATGCCTTGGTGGATCACTTGAATATTTTTCTACATTTGACAATAATCTCACAGGTTTGATCCCAAAAAGCTTGAAAGTTTGTGCTAGATTGTACAGACTTAGGCTTGACAGAAACGAACTTGTAGCAAATATATCAGAAGATTTCGGTGTATACCCAAATTTAAATTATATTGACTTGAGTTATAATCATTTATATGGTGAGTTATCTCCAAAATGGGGACTTTGTCATAATCTGACAAGCCTGAAGATCTCCAACAATAATATTTCTGGGAGGATATCGTCTGAGCTTGGAAATGCAACTCAACTATATGTACTTGACCTCTCTTCAAATCATCTAGTTGGAGAGATCCCACATAATCTGGGAAAGTTGCACTCATTGTTCGACCTTACTCTGAGTGATAACAAACTTTTTGGCAACATTCCACTGGAAATTGGTAGCTTGTTTGACCTACAAAATCTAAACTTGGCAGCAAATAAGCTCAGTGGCTTGGTCCCAAAACAATTAGGGGAGTGCGTGAAGCTACTAAACTTGAATTTGAGCAAGAATAAACTTGGGGGAGATATTCCTATTGACATAAGCAAGTTGCACTCTCTTCAAAATCTTGATCTTGGCCAAAATTCACTAAAGCTGAGATACCACAAGAGATTGGAGAACTGCACAACTTAGAGTCACTGAATCTATCCCAAAATGGGTTCTCAGGTTCCATCCCACTTACTTTCAATGATATGCTAAGTTTGATATCTGTTGATATATCTTACAATCATTTGGAGGGTCCTCTTCCCAACAGCAAAGTCTTTCAGAAGGTTTCATTTGAGGCATTCAGAGATAACAACGCTTTGTGCTGCAATATCTCCGGTTTGAAGGCCTGCCATCCCAAAATGAGTGATGGGCCGAAGGGGAAAAAGCACAACAAATTTGTGATTTTGGTTATAGCTCTTGTGTTGTGTATTTCATTGTTTTTATTTGGCATGTTGGCAATCTTTTTCATTCTTCACAAAAGAGCCAGGAACAAAGTCAATGAGCCAAGCCATGCAGCTAAGGAAAATTTGTTTGAAATATGGAGCTATGATGGAAAATTAGTGTATGAAAACATAACTGAAGACATTGAGAACTTTAACACCAACCATTGTGTTGGGGTGGGAGGATATGGTACCGTTTATAGAGTTGAATTGCCAAGTGGTCAAGTTGTTGCTATAAAGAAACTTCATAATTCGCAAGATGATGAGTTGGTTGTTGTGAAAAGTTTTATGAGTGAGATTCAAGCATTAAGGAAGATACGGCATCGTAATATTGTGAAGCTTTATGGTTTTTGTTCACACCCATGGCACCTATTTTTGGTTTATGAGTTCTTGGAAGGGGGAAGTTTGAGGAAGATCCTAAGCAGTGAGAAACAAGCAGTGGATTTTGAATGGACTAAGAGGGTGAATTTCATTCAAGGGGTGGCAAATGCTTTGTCTTATATGCACCAGGATTGTTTCCCTCCTATCATTCATTAGGACATATCAAGCAATAATGTTTTGTTGGATTCAGAATGTGTGGCTCACATTTCTGATTTTGGCACAGCTAGACCCATAAATCCTGACTCCTCAAATTGGACTTCATTTGCGGGAACCTTTGTAGACACCGCTCCAGGTATCTCTCCCTCTCTCTCCCTCTCTCTCTCTCTTATGGAATTTTGGAAGATTTTAAGCTTGTCATTCCACTGAGTTTTAAGGGCTATTACATGGCCATTCCACTCAGTTATGAACATCAAATTTTGGTGCTAACCCAACTCGCTGACATTGAAACTTGGTGTGGTCTCAATTAGAAGGCCTTTGAAGTTGGTTAGAATCAAGAGGATAAGTTGATCTAACGCCAATTTCTGCTCCAGCTTTTATAGGCCTTGTTGAATTCTTGGCCTCATAAACCTAGCATGGACGATGTGATCTGTGCCTAATGAGTTTTAGTGAACTGATGAGAGTTACACTTCTTTTCATTTTCATTTTCTTTTGATTTCTTTTAATAAATATATATATATATATATATATGCTTTAGTTGATCAAATTGACAAGTTGATTTAGGTGGTGCTCAACTCAATAATTCAATTAATCTCTTGCGAGTCATGTGATTTAGAGCTTGTTCGTTGTAACTTTCTCCAAGTTGAAAACTAATAATCTATAAGCAGAAACTAAAACCATACTCACAGTTTCAGAATTTAAAGTATATAAGCTGTAAGTAGAAATTACAACAAATGGTCCTACAAAAAATTCCAACATAAAATTGCAACTAACTGATGAAGTAGTAGCTAATTAATTGAGCTGAGGTTTCATAGTTATCATGTACATCTCCAATATAATTCAAATGAACATACTCTTGAAAACAAAGCATGACCAATATCTTTATTTTCTTTTTCCCTTTTTTTCCCTCTTACCTTTTTATTTTACTTCCTTCTTATTCTTTTTTGCATTTGCTTTCCTGGCAGAACTTGCTTTCACAATGGAAGTGAATGAGAAGTGCGATGTTTCCAGCTTCAGAGTGCTAGCATTGGAAGTGATAATGGGGAAACATCCATGCAATCTCATCTCTTCCCTACCATCATCATCATTGTCAGAGTCAAATATCCAGGGCATGTTTTTGAAGGATATTCTGGACCAAAGCCTCCCAACATCCACGAATCAAGTGGCACATCGAGTGGTTTTGATTGCAAAGCTAGCATTTGCATGTTTGTGTGCTAGGCCACAATCTCGCCCAACCATGCAACAAGTTTCTGTGGTGCTATCAAGACAAAGTCCATCCCTTCAAATTCCACTCAGCATGATTTCATTGGAACAATTGTTTTGTGATATGGAATTTTTAACTTTTTAAGCTTTTCCACTTCTTTCAAACTAATAAATCTACCAATATTGAACTGATACACACAAAAATTTATTTAGAAATACAATGTGTGGTCCAAATTTAATTTTTTAATGGTGGAATTCACATTTAGATTGAATTTAGATCACACATTATTTTTTCTAGATATATATTTTTTTGTGTGCAAATTTTGGGTCCGTGGCTGCTCCCTTTCTCATAGTGTATTTTAGTTGTTTTCGTACATATCGACATTTTTATCTCACCTCTCTTTGTGTTATATATCTATGCCCTTTTGTACATTGCTTTCCTGAATAAACGATGTTTAAAGTACTTCAATCTGTGTTAAATGTCCAACAATTAGTGAATGCTAAAAGGCAAGTCTTTTGGGTCAAGGTTCAAATGTTTGGCTGTTTTAAATATGGGTTTATTTGTGAGTTAGTTACTTAAAAATCTGTAGACACCCCATTTTTCACCGACCTTAAGACTCAGACGTCATCGATGGAGCGCTCGGTGATAGTGCATGTTGTGCTCGTTTCGAGGTTTCGGAGTTTTGGCTGAGAGCCTTGCCTTCGGGCCTCTGAACACTTTGTGCTTCGGCTCGGTTTGCGGACCAAGCCTTGTTTTCCTTGACTGAGGGAGGGAGAGGTCTTGTAGACCATCTCTTTGTGGTCGTAGACCACTTTTTCCCGTTTGGAGATCAGTTCCCGGTTTTCGAAGCCTTCGGCCATGCACCTTGTCTCGGGATCGCTTGACGCTCTCCGTTTGGCGTGATTTTTGAACCACACCTTGTTTCCTCTATCTAGAAGGACATTATGGTCCGGGAGACCACTTTTGTGGTTGTAAACCACTTCTGGTGCTTGTCAGCTAGTTTTTGAGACTCCCGGCTGTACGCCTTGCCTCCCGAACTTTCGTCTTGCACCCGTTTTGGTTTGTTTTTGGTACAAACCTTGTTTTCTTTGTTGGGAGGTGGTACAAGGGTGGGAGACCACTTTTCTCCCCACCAGCCGATTTTTTGGTCGGGAAACTGGTTTTCTTGGTCTTTGGGCCTCATTTACTGGTCTCCCACCCCACCATTGGCTTGCTTTCAGTGTGGAGACCACCAATTCCCCCTGCCGACCACTTTTTTTTCTGGGAGACCACTTAAAGTGGTCGGCCAACCACTGCAAGTAACAGGCCGACCACTTTATGTGGTCGGCAGCTTTCCCCCTGTTTTGTCAGACTGAATGGATGCCAGCTGTGCCAACTGGAGGGCATAGACTGTATCCTATGGAGGGATTGCATCCAAGTTTTAGCTTCTTGAAGAAGCTTTAACTTTTGGCTCCTCTATAAGAGAGGGCCTTCCTCTCCATTGCAGGGGTTCTGAAATTTTCCTAAGGCATAAGCATATATCTCCCTCTATATCTCTATATTTGGTGCCTAAAGAGTGTGTTGTTCTCCATCTCTTTGCACCACAACTCTTAACCATACACCCCCATCATTAAACTGAGGTTCTTGGAGGACTTTTTTGAAGGTTAAAAAGCTGGATTTTGGCTAAGAAATCTGCTGGTTTTGCTGTGCCTCAAGGGTAATCTCTTTTCTCCCTTTTTTAGCTTTGTCTTGATCACTCTCTTAGCCATACTTGTATGCTTATTTGAGCTTTGTTTTCAACTAAAAAAAGCTTCATTTTTGAGTGCTTAACATGTTAGTTTAAGGCCTCTTGGGTGCTGAGGGTCTTCTACCCCCTTGCTTGCCGTATTTGGCCTTGTGTTGTGCCATACCGTAAGGCCTTTGAGCTAGTCCTTGCTTGGCCTCCTAGCCACTGAAATCCAATGGATTTTCAATTGTAGGCATGTGGTTTTGAGGTCCTAAATCAGAGGGGGGTGATCCCCTCTCTTCTTGTTTTGTTTGCTTGCATTTTTGGCCTATCAAAGGAGCATACATCTTCATACTTTCAAGGCTTGGTTCAGGCACTTTTTGGTGACTTTTAGGGCTTGCCTAGACTCTTTCCATGGTTGGTTTGGTCATCCTTGGCATGCTTCTCATATGTGTAGTGTAATCCCATTTGTGGCTCATCAAAGTAGCATGTCAATCTAGCATGTATTAGCTCCATTTCAGTGGGTTTTTGGGTATCATTTGGCATGCAGGCTTGTTTTATGGCTGGTTTAATAGCCTCTTGCTCTTCATATCTTTGTAGGTAAATCTGTTCACTAGCTTTGAATGGCATGATGTTTTGGCTCACCATTCTAGCATATTTTGCAGTGCGACATGATTTTGTTCATATATTGGCGTGTCTTAGCTCTCTTTTTTGAGGCCCCGGTTGGTCAAATGATGCTTGCCATGCATGCTTGTAGTGTAATAGCCTTGACTAGCTTCGAGTTTTGAAAGTCCCTTGCATGCTTAACTTGAGGTATTTACATGTTTGGCATTCATTGTGAATGTTATTTCAGAGCATGTAGGGCTGTTACACTTCCATTTTTCCCACTTCTTAAGTGCTATTGAGGGTTGTGCTTTTATGCCTGTATGTATGAGCCATTTGCATGTCAAAGCCTGCGTGTGTTAGCTGCAGTTCACAGCCATCATCCCAACTCATTTTTGCTGCTATTTTGGCCTTCATAGGGTCTGTTTGGGGTTGGCTTGGTCAAATGATGCTCGCCTTGCATGCCTCTAGTGTAATATGCTTCACTAGCTTTTGATGCTTGAGCCTTTCAACATGCATTACATGAGTTGTTTTGCATGATTCTAAGTCATCTTGCATGCCATTTCAGTGCTGGAACATATGTCATTGTACTCCATGTTGCATCTTTTCAATGCTTTTGGAAAGTTGCGTTTTGTGCCTTAGGCTTGGGCCCTTGCATTGTGCATGCTTGTATGTGTTTTATTGCCTTGATTTCATCACCATTGGCCGCTGATTTGGACATGGCTGAGGCCTATCCATCTTGGTTTAAGTCCATTGTGCATTGAGTATGCCATGTGGTTCATAGCATTGAGTATGCCATGTTGTTGCATGATTGATCATTACACTTGTGCATGCCATTTTCATCGCATTATGTATGTTAGTTATCATGTGCATTGTGTATGCAAGTGTCATGAGCATTGTGTATGCCATGTAATTCATAGCATTGTGTATGCTAGTCGCATGTTTGCTTGTCTAAGTTGTATCGCATTAGGTTGCATACTTGAAGTCGCATTGTGCATGCCATGTTTGTTGTATTGTGTTTGGGATAGGAGTTAGCCCAAACACGGGAAATGAGGGGCGTTTCATACTCGAAGTGATGAAACGTGCCTCAATTCCCGGTCGCCAACACTCTTGACTATACATGATGGAGTTTTAGGCTTTACGTGTTCATATGTGCATTCATTTCATATTGAGTTGCGCAATTCGACTCCTCGGCCATCATGCATCGAGATGCGTGATTGATGGCCCAAGGATCGAGAACTATACTCCTTTGAGCTCATGTAATGATAGGAAGGATGGTTGTGCACACATGTGTTGCAAATACTTTGCCATGCCCCTCTCTTGCCCTCTGTTGGAGAAAACCAGAAACCAGCAGCAAAAACTAGTCGGCCGACCAGATAAAGTGGTTGGCCGACCACTTTTTCTAGTCTTCACCACAAAAAGTGGTCGGCAGGTGGTCTCCAGTAGCAATAACTGGTCGGCAGCATCCCTAGAGGTCTCCTAGGTGGAGTGGAAGCTTTGTGGAGCTTGGTGAAGTGTTCTAAAAACATTTGCAAATAGAGGCAAGTTAGGGCATTGCGATGGATTTCCGCGCAAGGCGATTCGAGCATGCATGCATCCTTCGTCATCCAAGGCAGAGCTAGGGCAGCCTACTTCATTTAGTTTACATGCTTATTTAAATTGCTTACTTAGTTAATTTGTTGGTTAATTAGAGTTGTGTAATAATTAGCTGTAGCTTGTTATTCATTTTGTTGTATAATAACTAGTTTAATTAGATTAGCTTAGATTAGCTAGTTAACTTGTTATTCGGACCCTCCGTCGAGAGGGCACAATTGTTGCAATAAGTGTGTGTGTGTGTGATGCATGTCTTCCAACCCCCATTTCTTTCTCCCTTTTATTTACCAGCTTTCAATGGTTAGTTTTAGGGCATGTTTCAATTGGCATCCTTATGCTCACATGTTTGCATCCCTTCATCTATCTTGCAACTGCATCGTATTTCAATTCCTGCTTGAATACATGTATCAAGTTGCATTTCACATGACATTTTAGAATAGCTGAGCCTATCTTAGTTGCATTCTTGCATGTGTTGCATTAGCCATCTTAACATGAACTAGGATCATGCATTGATTACTAACTAGTTTCTGTTTTGGCTCGGAGTACTCGGTGAGTATTTATGCTTTAGCATCCTTGCATGTGTGTGAGTGACTGCCATGATAGCATGCTTACCATGAGGCCAACTGCTTATGTGATATAACTGCCTGAATGCCTGTGGGTGAAGGTTGGATTACTTGAATTGGAACAATTCATTGATTGTGAGTTTTAAGCCCACTTGAGAGTGGCAAACCACCATGTTTTCTAAGCCCACTTGAGGGTGGCAAAATCCGCATTTTAGCCTACTTGCGGTAGCAAACCGCTTTTAAAAACAAACATGAGATGTTTTGTTCCAACTTAGGTGATCCAGTCTATACTTGTATGCTGTGCGCATCACATAGTAATGCTAGGTTAATAACCGGAATAAGAGCACATGTGTTTTCAAAAACAAGATATCATGTTAGTAAAGGCCGATCTTTGATCGAGCGAGCGAGGGTGCTCATTGCATGACCTTCCCCTCTTGTACCCAAGTTCCCAAGCCGAGGCAACTTTGGTGATGACAGACACGTGGGCTTAGGCACGAGTCAGGGTTTCTTAAATTTCCCAAAAATAAAATATTTAGGTGGTGACTCTGTATCTGGCAAAGCAGTCCATGTTTGACACTTCTTTCTGAAAATCAATTTTTCAAAACGATTTGCCGGATTTGGACTTTTTGGTGATTTATCGATCTCGCATTGCACTTTGTGAGATCAAATTTAGAATCGTG